GCTTATACAACTAAATATTCATTAAGTGATTCAAAGGAAAGCAAAATCTTCAAACATTTTTCAGTTTATATAGTGAATGTTTGAGTTTGTAAAGAAGAATACAAACACTGCAATTTTTTTGAACAGTCTAATATTCACTTTTCTTAAATTTTTTTAGAGGAACAACACAAATTTGATATATTTTTCCTTCATGTTTTGATTTGGAATAGAATGTGTAGTGTTCCCAATGCATTTGTGTGTATGGAAATAAAAGCTATTAGAAGGATTTTGAGCTTTGTTCACTTTTTTCAACACACTGCTATAATTTTGAACACAACTGTATATATGTGATTTTGCGCATCCCTGCCGCCCTATAGTAGTAGTTCTGATATAGGGTGGTCGGAAGGGGAAGCGGTTTAAAATATGTTATTTATTTGTCCAAATATTCTTGATCCACTAGCATGAAAAAATATAAATGTGACATGTCAAATGTAAACATTACAATAAATGATACGCTTAGAGAAATAAGCAGCCCTTTTCCTCTCTAGGACTAGGAACCTTGTTGCTCTGACGTGTTCTGGCTGCCAGCTCTGAGTGCGGTTGTTTATGTGATGGACTCCCCCACAGAGTAGCTGATAGGAGTTATCTCACCCAACCACAGGGTTATCTGCCATGGCAGAACCCAGTTCCCTCACATACACAAAGCCCGCAATGGAGGAACTGACTCCCGACCTCACACTGATGTCTTATTACTGATCTATGAGAACAACCTGCTGCTGAAAAAAGAGGCCCAGAGTCAGAAAGACAGGGGGTTTCTCTCATAGGGTAGTCATAGATGTTGGAAGCTGAACACCAAGTAAAATATTTAGTATCCATTTACACAGTCTCGTCTTTTAAAATTATAAAAAAAAAGTGAATTATATTGCATTTGGGTACACTAAAATAGTTTTAGTGTATTTAAATTGTTACTAAACCCACAACAGTAAAATCAGTCTGTATATGCAGTAAAGCATGCTTGTTATACTCACTGTGAAACCTAGGGGTTAATCCTCTGCATTGTGTAAAAAGGATGCTTGATCCTGTCTTCTCTGATCCTCCCAGGGGCGGACTGACCATTTGGAAACTCGGGCACTGCCCGAGGGCCCGAGGTCAGTAGGGGGGGCCCCATGAGATGCCCCTGGTACCATTTTCATAGGCTTTTTTGAGTTTGTGCAAGGACACAAGGGCCCCATGATCCCCTATTGCCCGGGGGCCCCAAGAGTTGTCAGTCCGCCCCTGGATCCTCTCCTTCTTCTACTGTCCTCAATCCATCTGCTGATAGAACAGAGCCTTGAGGGCAAGCTGCACATGCTCAGTTTGGTCTGTATAGCAAGAGAGTTTTTTTTTTTCCTTGGAAGAGTGCGTGTGATCAGCCAATCAATGCTGTCCAGACAGAGGGGTTTTGCAGCCTCAAAGGACAATAAGGGAATAATAAAAACTCCTCCTACAAGCTTTAACCACTTGCCCACCGCCCCATAGCATATGTACTGCTGCAGGGCGGATTTGCTGGGCAAAATCACTCAAATATATATGATTTTGCATTTCTGGGTAGGACTCCTATTGACTCCTAAGAGTGTCAATCACTGGGTCCCGGCCGGTGATTATTGGGATCGTTGGCAAAGCTTAGAGGGAAGAGATCTGTGTGTGAACAACACAGATCTCTCTCCTGTCAGCATGGATGTGCTGCTTTCTATCTCTCTGCACAGCAGATATACGTATATAGAAAGCAGCAGGTCTGCTTAGTAAAACAGCACACAGCATTATTATTATTACTATACAGGATTTATATAGCACACAATAAAAACATTACCTAACACACAGTTAACCCTTTGATCGCCCCAGATGTTAACCTTTTCCTGTCTAGTGTCATTAGTACAGTGTCAGCGCTTTTTATTAGCACTGATCACTGTATTAGTGTCACTGGAGATGTGATTGGCAGTTAGTCAGTTCCCACCCAGTGTCAGGTTGGTGTTTTTTTTTTTTTTTTAAATTCCAGTATATATACCGCCATTTGCAGATGCTATAAATTTCATGTAAAACCAATTAATATACATTTATTGGGATTTGATGGTGGAAACCCCCTGTACTTCTACCTACAAAATACACCAAAACTAAACAAGTATAAAGAAGCTGCTAACATCCAATCATATACCAAAATGATCAAAGATAAATGAAATAAGGAAATGATGCAGCGCTACTCTGATAATAAAAATACTAAATATATATAATACATAAAAACATATGAAGTGACACAATGTGCAACAAAACACAAACAGTGACCTGATCCTCCAGGGATCTACAAATATATAGGTGAACTGATCCTCAATGGATCCAAAGTGTACACAGTGAATGTTGTACCATCCAAATGATGGTAATCACAGATTTTTTTACCAATACTAAACGTATGGTATAAATGTGCATGAATCCTAAAATAGGATCCAAAGTGATGATATAAGCAAAACCAGCAAAGGATATGTAAATTTAGCCCAAAATGGACTAATAGGTGATGATATGTCCAAAATTGGACTCAAAAAACGCATATAAGTGCATAATAAAGTGCATAAGCATGCAAAAGCAAGATATGTGAATCCTAAAAAATATTAATTATAAAGTGTTTTCATGCATAAATATATATGCAAACAAACACTATCAATAATATATACAATAGTGAACCTATATCATGCAAAACGCATGATTCCAAACTTAAGTTAGAAATGTGAAAAAAGTCCAAATGTGGTACTACACCACTATATATTCAAATAAACAAATGACACTCGTGCACGTGGATGGTGGACGTGAATAATCACAAAAGAGTATCCGTCAAAAGCCGGATTGGCCGCATTGAGCTGCGCTAAGTTCAGTCCATATGACTGCACTGCAGTTATGTGCATTGATTAACAGTAGGACATGCTGCTTTTTACGCAGTGCAGCATAAAACCGACGCACTACACTGCATCACAATGCACTGTAATGCATAAAGCTAATGCAGTGCATTGCCAGACTGTGACATTTTGATAAAGTTGGAGAAAAAAATAAACAGTGAGATGCATCATTATCACACTTTGGCACTGTTCCCTACACTGCACACGCAAATGTGGTACAACATTGCTGCTGGTTTGAACAAGCCCTAACAGCTTACAAGCAGGTGTATGATACATTGGATGGCTGGCAGACTGTCAAGATTCTTCTTCCACAGAAAGTAAAAGCAGTTGTGATTCTAGTGCCACTGTTGTAAGGTTAGAAAATGAATTTCTCAATGCCTATAGCTACAGAGGTAAATGAGAGCTTGTTTTAAAACTCTTGTAATGCTTGTTCAGAATAGTAAATACTTTAATATGCATTGCCTGGTAACAAGTTCATTTTAAGGCTTTGTGAATTGTTGACCTAGAACAAATTTAGAAATAAAGAATTCTGACACTTTTATAACACCTTTTTTTTACAGGAGAAAAAGTTCTATTATATAAATGGGATCTGTACATTGGATACTGTGTCCTATACACTGATATACAAAGAAGACAAGCTCTATTATATAAATCATATAAATAAATAAGACCTATACACCGGACACTGCAGCCTATACACTGATATACAGAAGAGAAAGGTCCTATTATATAAATGAGATCTATACACCGCACACTGCGTCCTATACACTGATATATAGAGGAGAAAAGTCCTATTATATAAAATGAGATCTATACATCGCACACTGTGTCCTATACACTGATATACAATGAGAAAAGTCCTATAATATAAATGGGATCTATACACCGCACACTGTGTCCTATACACTGATATTTAGAGGAGAAAAGTCCTATTATATATATGGGATCTATACACTGCACACTGCATCCTATACACTGATATACAGAAGAGAAAAGTCCTATAATATACAGTAAATGAGATCTATACACCGCACACTGTGTCCTATACACTGATATACAACAGGGAAAAGTCCTATAATATAAATGGGATCTATACACCGCATACTGCGTCCTATATACTGATATATAGAGGAGAAAAAGTCCTATTATATAAATGAGATCTAAACACCGCACACTGCGTCCTATACACTGATATACAGCGGGGAAAAGTCCTATTATATAAATGGGATCTATACACCGCACACTGTGTCCTATACACTGATATATAGGAGGAGAAAAGTCCTATATAAATGAGATCCATACAATGCATCCTATACACTGATATACAGAGGGAAAAAGTCCTATTATATAAATTAGATCTGTACACTGCATACTGCATCCTATATACTGATATATAGAGGAGAACAGTCCTATTATATAAATGAGATCTATACACCGCACACTGCATCCTATACACTGATATACAGCGGGGAAAAAGTCCTATTATATAAATGAGATCTATACACCGCACACTGTGTCCTATACACTGATATATAGAGGAGAAAAGTCCTATTATATAAATGAGATCTATACACTGCGTCCCATACATTGATATACAGAGGGAAAAAAATCCTATTATATAATTGAGATCTATACACCGCACACTGTGTCCTATACATTGATATATAGGAGAAAAGTCCTATTATATAATTGAGATCTATACACCGCACACTGCGTCCTATACACTGATATATAGAGGAGAAAAGTCCTATTATTTAATTGAGATCTATACACCGCACACTGCGTCCTATACACTGATATATAGAGGAGAAAAGTCCTATTATATAAATGAGATCTATACACCGCACACTGTGTCCTATACACTGATATATAGAGGAGAAAAGTCCTATTATATAAATGAGATCTATACACCGCACACTGATGTACAGTGTTAAAAAGTTCTAGAAGTGAAAGCTGTAGAAGTGAAAAGTACAATAAAGTATTTGTTCCTCTTTTTTGGCATACAACCTAATGATTAGATAATAATCCCAGCCGGAGGTTGGCTGGAATCCATTCCTTAGAACTAGGGATACATCTTGTAATCAGAGAGAAGCCCCTTACCTCTGCACAGCATCTGCCTCTGTAATGTGCAGAATTCCACATTGCAGTGGTCTTTATAAAGCTGGTGATAGGGGGGCCAGTCAAGCTTTGAGTCATCTTTCATTTACATCACCATTCTCCACCCTCACCGTGGTCAGTTTAATGAGATCAGAACTCTGTGGTGACCCTTTATTGAAGATATTATTATTTCAGTCCTCCCCTGCTGGTCGCTGTTGCTTTTTTTCTGAATAACCGGAAAGCTGGTATTGAAGGGGACAGGAAAAATTGCAGAATGGAACCTGCTTGGTGTAGAGAGGAAGGGAAGGCAGCTGGCAGTGCTGGAGTATTGTATAGGGCAGTGTTGAAACAGGAAAAGAGAAAATGATGTCTAGAGACGTCGAAGAATGCAGAGAAGTCAGGAGTACAAATCAGAGCTTCTGCAAGTGAACAGTCTGCGAGGACCCATTCATACGTTGCGTTCTTGTCAGACGCGGACTGACTATTTGGAAACTTGGGCACTGCCCGAGGGCCCATGGTCAGTAGGGGGCCCATTAGATGCCCCTGGTACTTTTTTCATAGGCTTTTTTTTGTTTGGGCAAGGACACAGGGGCCCCATGATCCCCTATTGTCCAGGGGCCCCATTGTCAGTCCGCCCCTGGTCCTTGTGCGTTGTGTTGATGCGTTTTGTGTTACACAATACAGTGCTTTGCGTGAAGACAGCTCAATTATTTTGAATGGGCTACCCACACTGCCATTGGCGGCCTCAGCTGTCGATCACTGGGTCCCAGCCGGTGATTCCCCACCGGCACCCGGCGATCACCGTGTATCACTGACGGGGCAGAGACCTGTATGTAAACAATACAGATCTCTCCCCTGTCAGATCCTGCACATTGCTTTGTATTGCTCTGCATAGCAGACCAATACAAAGCAATGTGCTGACACAGTAAAGCACATCACACAGCACACAATAAAACAGCACACAGTTAACCCTTTGATCGCCCCAGATGTTAACCCCTGCCTGTCCAGTGCCATTAGTACAGTGTCAGTGCTCACAGACACCGCGATCACAGAGAGCGCTGGGTGAGAGCCGCTGAGGGCGTGCGGGGGGGGCCTTCTGGGAGGACATCATATGACACCCTCCCAGAACTGGACAACCGTGCTGTAGCCGTCATTCAGCTATAGTGCGGTTGGCAAGTGGTTGAGTTATTTGGTAACCGATCATTGGCTGCAGTGAAATGGTATGGTTCAGAATTTCACATTTTTTATTTTGAACAGCATAGAGAACATTTTCCTTCTGTAGCCTCTGAATGCCGAAAGAAGGGAGAGGAGGAGAAGACAGCTTTCAGCGGTTGCAGGAGGAAAATGGAGAGGATCAGCTCCTGTATATGCCACCCCGGCAACCCCTCCTGTCCAAATGTAAAACAGAATGTGACAGGGAGGCCACACAGGCCCCTTGCAGTGTAGGGCGGGGTTGCCATTGTGACCCCTGATGCTACACCAGTGGTTGGGGGTGTGTGGTTAAAACATGTCTCAACTATGGGGTTTTATCACCCCCCAAACTGTAAATATAAACAAGCCCTTACTGTCCTAAGCCCCTGTGACTGCTTTCACACTGATGCACTGCAGTTTACCTGCGCCGTGGGTACAACACAGTGCACCTGCAGCTTTCTTGCGGGTTAGCTGCACTTTGCCATTGACTTCTATTATATCTTGCGGGTGTGGCGCACTTTCTGAAAGTGCACCAGACTCGAAGGGGATAATAGAAGTGCTCTTCCCTGGTTTGAGGTCAAGGGCCACATTATAGAGCTCCGAGGGCCACAGGTTGATCACCCCTGCTGTAAATGAATAATAATGATTACTCCTGTGGATACAACATACTTTCAAAGGGCACCTCCAAGAAAATGACTAAACACACAGCTGGAGAGAACCAACTAAATGATTGATGATCCAGCTAGTCCTTCTAAGCCAGCTGGCGAGCCTTTTCCTATGTCTTGCTTCCATGCCATTACCCCACTTCCTTGCACTATTATGAACATTAGCACACAATATTAATGTCAATTCAAAAATCTATTTCGGCCTGTTAAAATTTGCAGCTGGCATTAAATGAATATCTGTTGACACTGTTGTGAAGGTCCTTTAGGCACTTATTGTCATGTGGTGACAAAGCTATGCTCCTGTCTCCCAATTCTGCTCCTGCATTGTCACTTTGTCATTGTTCCTCCCCCGTCAATGTTTTTCCCTGTTGTTGTATTGAACTGATGTATACTGATAACTAGTGGTGATTTGGGGCCACAACAACTTGTTTATTCATGTAATTTGGTATCTCCCTCTGTCATTCCCTCCTGTTTGGTGTTTGTTCTGTTCTCACTAGACCCTCCCTGTTTCTTCTATGTTCTCTCAGTCAGTGTTAATTCTTTGTAGAGGCAGTGCTTAGGATGGTCATTGTCTTCTTATACTTCAAAAGACTGGAAAAACATCCTCTGTACTGCACTTTTGAGAAGTAAAATTCTGATGGATTCAACTTCTGTGTCTTATGGAAGAGTCAAGCTGCCTGTGGATGGTGCTAAGTCAATCGGTAACCATACTCTCTGCACAGGCTAGGTCTGTGGAGGTATGTCAATGCATAAAGTGACATTCTTACGCACATTCAATGGGGGTATATAAACAGTTGTGATGCCGCTCATTGATGAGGCATATTCGGTTACTGTCACCATCAGGGATCCTAACCTGGAAAATCAATTACAGCCGCCACTGAAGAATATGCATGTGGACAGGAAGGTGCTGCAAAGAGGCTTGAACTGATCAATGGATAAAAAAAAGACAATTGCTTATGATTCAAGACATTTTGGCCAACTAAATATTGTTTTTCAATTGTCATAAACATTCCATAATTTCAAATGTATACCAAATTCTTAAGAGAGACATTGTCACGTTGCCTATTCAGTATCTGTACATAGTTTCCCTTCAGGCATGTATACTTACCTACTTACCTCCACATATGACCTAAGTGGTCAATTAACAGAGCTGAACACTGTCATGTGGGAGGGTGCCATGATGTCATTCCTTTGTCTAAGCTTCAACACTAGCCAACAGTGAAACCTAGACAGGCAGTGAGGGAGCAAGACTGGTAAGCATACAGCACATGTCTGGGCTATGTACAGTTGCTGTCAATGAATGAGCAACGTCTCTTTAAAGGAGATATAAACCCTAACTGGATAAACACTATATTGGCAAAAGTATTGGACCAGCCCTCCTAATCATTGGATTCAGGTGTTCCAATTACCTCCATGGCCACAGGTGTATACAATCAAGCACCTAGGCATGCAGACTGCTTCTACAAACATTTGTGAAAGAATGGGTCGCTCTCAGGAGCTCAGTGAATTCAAGCGTGGTACTGTGATAGGTTGTCACCTGTGCAATAAGTCCATCTGTGAAATTTCCTTATTACTAAATATTCCATGGTCAACTGTTAGTGGGATTATAACAAAGTGGAAGCAACTGGGAACAAAAGCAACTCAGCCACGAAGTGGTAGTCCACGTAAAATGACAGAGCGGGGTCAGCGCATGCTGAAGCGCACAGTGAGCAGAAGCCGCCAACTGTCTGCAGAGTCAGTAGCTAAAGACCTCCAAACTTCATGTGGCCTTCAGATTAGCACAACAACAGTGCGTAGAGAGCTTCATGGAATGGGTTTCCATGGCCGAGCAGCTGCATCCAAGCTTTACATCACTAAGTGCAATGCAAAGCGTGGGACGCAGTGGTGTAAAGCATGTTGCCACTGGACTCTAGAGCAGTGGAGACGTGTTCTCTGGAGTGATGGATCGCGCTTCTCAGTCTGGCAATCCAATAAACGTGTCTGGGTTTGGTGGTTGCCAGGAGAACGGTACGTGCCTGGCTGCATTGTGCCAAGTGTAAAGTTTGGTGGAGGGGCATTATGGTGTGGGGTTGTTTTTCAGGGGTTGGGCTTGGCCCCTTAGTTTCAGTGAAAGGAACACTTAAGGCAGCAGCATACCAAGACATTTTGGACAATTTCATGCTCCCAACTTTGTGGGAACAGTTTGGGGATGGCCCCTTCCTGTTCCAACATGTCTGCACACCAGTGCACAAAGAAAAGGTCCAGACATGGATGAGCGAGTTTGGGGTGGAGGAACTTGACTGGCTTGCAAGGAGTCCTGACCTCAACCCGATAGAACACCTTTGGGATAATTTAGAGCGGAGACTGCAAGCCAGGCCTTCTTGTCCGACATCAGTGCCTGACCTGACAAATGCGGTTCTGGAAGAATGGTCAAACATTCCCATAGACCAGTGTTTCTCAACTCCAGTCCTCATGGACCCCCAACAGGTCATGTTTTCAGGATTTCCCTCAGATGAAACAGCTGTGGTAATTACTAAGGCAGTGAAACTGATCAAATCACCTGTGCAAAATAATGGAAATCCTGAAAACATGACCTGTTGGGAGTCCATGAGGACTGGAGTTGAGAAACACTGCCATAGACACACTCCTAAACCTTGTGGACAGCCTTCTCAGAAGAGTTGAAGCTGTTATAGCTGCAAAGGGTGGGCCAACTCAATATTGAACCCTACGGACTAAGACTGGGATGCCATTAAAGTTCATGTGTGTGTAAAGGCAAGCGTCCCAATACTTTTGGCAATATAGTGTATATATATCCTGTGTATGCGCACACATACAGTATATTAAATAGTATGTACACATAAGCTGTGCAGATTTGCACATATGATTTTCCTTTTCCTGGCACTAATTTGATAAGAAAGTTATATAAAAACTGTGATGTAAAAAGTATTTGTTAGCATTTTACTAATCCTCCTATGGGGAAATGTTTTCCTTGGAAATTATGAAGAATTGTTTTATCACAAAATCTAAACTGGAAGTTGCACTCCTGACAGTACTGGACTATTAAATATAGAGTGGACACTCTAAACAGATAAGGACATGCAAAGTCATCGCCTTTCCAGATACAGGTGTTTTATATATTGATTGTGGAGATAGTATCAGATAAGTCAAAAGAAAGAAAGCCAACATTTTGGGGCCTCACAGGGTTCCTTC